GTTTTCATAATTAGCAAAGTGTAAAATGACATGGCTGCAACAATGCATCCATCCCCTTGTCCTGTCTGGACTTGTTCACTAAATGTAAGTAAACCCTTTGCTGAGTTTGGTGTTGTGTCTGGGAAGGTATTAATAGATATCGTCATGGAAGCCACCTGCAGTTGTTTTTCTGGTAAATTATAACCTCATCATGTCTCTTGGTGGAAGTGATGTTTGGCTCTCCGTCCAGGGGAAATAATGCCAAACATCCAGGGAATCTGGCAGTCAATTCAGAGGTGATGCCAGCGCTGAATCAGACCCTGTGCATGCAAAGGTGTCATTGCAGGGATGAGCACAATCAGAATCCTCTACTTTGTAACTCAAAGAGTATTTTAAATGAGCATAAAATGGCACCAGCACTGAAAGATGCAGTACTGTCCCTCTCCTTCGTGCTGGCAACTGGGACAGGGTGACCTGGATTAGAATGGGTCCAGCTGAGACCTAACCCAGTTAGAAAAGGGGGAGAAAAGAAGCCAAACAGTACTAATTCAATTCCCAGAGCAGTTCCCTCCGTATGGCTTACTATGGACATGTCCAGATTTTGGCACTGACAGTGTGGTTTGCAACACTGCAAAAAGCAAACGGATGGAGGAAGACTGGCTGACTGCTGGTGTCACCATGAGCTTGCACCTCCTTGAGAAGGTTGGTCACAGCCTTATAGGAGTATAAATTCAAGAAAAATATTCTGTGTGCAGCTCCAGGCCCCAGGATTTTCGAAGGTTGAAAAGGTCCTTGGAATGTGTCCAGAGGAGGTGAAAATAGGGGGCAGGAAGGCATGTCCTGTCAGGAGTGGCTGAGGACTTGTCTAGCTTGGAGAAAAGCAAGTTCAGGGGAGCCTTGTTGTTCTCTACAGCTTCCTGGGGAGGGAAAGTGAAAAGTGAAGTGCTGAGATCTTCTCGCTTGTATCCAGTGATAGGATATGTGTGAATGTTTCAAAGATGTATCAGGGGAGCTTCAGACTGGACAGGTTGAAGCAATTCTTTACTGAGAGGGTGGCCAAAAGCCTGGAACAGGATTCCTAGAGAGGTGGTTGATGCCCCCAGCCTGTCAGTGTTTAAGAGGCATTTGGTCAATGTTGTTAACAGCATGCTTTAACTTTTGGTCACCCTGAGTTGGAACACAGATACTTCTTGTAGGTCCCTTGCAATTGAAATAGGCTAGTCTATTCAAAGTGTTTTGAATACATATTCAAAGCAGCTTTGCCACTGCTGTTTCTCATGTTTGTAATTGAATGAAAACAGAGCTAGAATTCAAAACAGAGAGAGTGGCACCTCTTCCTTTGCTAGCTGTGTCCAGCTAATTACCGTAGTATTCTAACTTGTTTCTTATTTTCATTTAAAGGTCAGCTTGAATAACCCACCTGACCACTGGTATGAAGAAAAGCTAGGTCCCAAGAACAATGCAAGCCGAGAAGAAGGGAAAACATCTGAAAAGAGCAATTTTTATTTGGAAGACTTGGAGAAATATACCTTTTCTGTGTGGTAGGTGATCACAGCATCAAATAGTTTCACAACTGGAAAGTTTGCCTTGCTATATGTGTATTACAGAGGCATCTACCTTTAGATAAAAGTTATTGGGCTAAAAAAAACCCAAAAAACAAAACCCATGGGCTTTTCTTGGATTTCTTAGTATTCATGACTGAAGTTGAATTAAAAAAATTGGAAGCACTTTTTGTCTGAGAATGTAATTTTGACATTACTGCATTGTTTTGAGAAGCTGTGTCAGGGCAATAAAGGCAAAAACATTTCCAGCATAATCTTTTCAGCATTTTAGGAGCAATACACTACCTTTTTCGGATGTTATTTTAAATATTATTACTGTTCCCTCTTATAAAATTCACATATGGGGAATGATTTAAAATAATAGATAAAGTGAAATTAAAAAGGCTACATCAAAATAAAATCTTTTCATTTTATTATAATTATATTTCCTGGAATTTCATCTTTTAGGTAATTGCAAAAGTTGGACAGTTATTTGCTATTAGTAAAAAAAAATGAAGACCCAATCCTTTACCAAATGAAATGATCTGATAATCTTTTGTATAGCTCCCTACTGTGCTTTGAATATTCAAAACCCAACTGTAATGTACATCTCTGGAACCCATGATCTTCTCCAAATCAGCCCCTAGAGTTTCAAATAAAACATCCAGAAAACAAATCATAATAGGGCGTATGTCTGTGAAAATTTATTTTTATATTGCTTCCCTATCAAAACGCAAGACAGGATTATCTCACAGGCAAGCCAAGCAGCCTTCCACGTCTCTAGTGCTGTCTATGCCCTGCTCTCATTTGCTTTGGTGCCTTTAAAACTGGCAGGAAGTCAGGTAAAGACCTTACAGACACGATGTGCATTTTCACTGTGGTAATCTGAACTCAGCTCTAGAGATGATTAACCCTGAGTACTGGAGAAGGCAGAAATCAGGCAGAAGAATAACACACACTCTTGTAATTAAGCTTTCATAATTCTACTGGATTAATTATGGTTATTTTGAACAATTAAGGATTCCCCCATCCTGGCCATAATATAAGAATAGATTTTAGAGTAGCAGCGCTCATCCAAATATCCTTGCCAGCTCCCACTGTTTCATTTTACCTACCTCAATTTTCAAATTAAATTAACCAAATTATCATCAATTATCTGTCTCAAGGTGCTTGCTTTTCTGTAGTGGTGAGCTTCACTTTCTCTCTTCCGTGTCTTGCAGAGTTTACAGTGAGAGAATTAATATTTAATTGTATGTGCCCCACCCCTGGAAGCGTTCAAGGCCAGGTTGGATGGAGCCCTGGACCACCTGGTATGGTGGAAGATGTCCCTACCCATGGCAGAGGGTTTGGAACCAGACGGCTTTTAGGGTCCCTCCTAACCCAAAGCATTCTGTAGTTCTGTCCACCTTTATAGTCATCAGCATTGATCCTTTATTCAAAGAAGTTAATCTTAAAAGTGTTGGGAAAGGAACTCCACCCATATCAGCCTGGCCCCAGGCTTTGAACTCCATGGCCTACTCTTGGTCAAGTAAGGTATTACACATAGCATGCTGCATAAAGAATATATAATAATATAATATAGTAATGCATTAATAATCTATTTTTTAAATATAGAGTTAATTCAGGTAATTTATTTGGGAATCTGATACCTTGTGAGTTGTTAATTCCATATGCTACTATACCATCGTGACGTTTCAATTTTTACTCACTTCTGTCTGTCTCCTCCTTTCCTTCTCTCCTACTTTCTCCATCAAAGGGCATCAACTCCTCTTTGTCTATTTCCAGACCTTCCTCTCTACGACAATTGCTACCTTTTAAAAAATGCAATGCAAGATAATTAGCTACTACAAAAATTTTTAATAGCACTGTAGATCTGGGGGCAGCTTAGATCTCCATAAACTTCAGAGTTTTAGATGCTCCAAGATGCAATCTGAGCAATTTCCTTGATCTTTTATTGCAGCTGGTAAATCATTTATTGGGCTAGGTTATTTTACAAAATCCTCTTTAAAAACAAAATCCCATAAAATGTATTTATCATAAAGTACTGCACGGCCAACAGTCTTCAAAGTTGTGCATACCCTGTATTAATTAAAAGCTAGTGTTGTACAGTGACAAGTCAAAAGTATCCACTGTCTCAGTCTCTCTCTTCCCCCTCCACTCCCTGCCTCTCCCTGTGACTTTTTTTTGCTCTTCTTTTCCTTCTCTCATGTTCTCTTCTCTTTTAAGGCTTGCCAAAGGGGAGATTGGTGAGTACAAACAAGATATGCTTTTGTGATCACAAATATTTTTCTGATAATTGTGATTTTTTTTTTGCTTCCATTGCTATAACATGCTTGTCCTTTTCCATTCATATTAATTTGACAGTGGTGTCTCACATCCGTAGGCCATAGTCAAACCTCCTTACAGTGGGCATTATACACATCTGTAATAAAAAGATCATTTTGGCTGCAGAAGCCCACAGACTTCAGCTTGGATCTCTCAGGCTACACGAGTTCCTTTCCTGCTGTGCCCACGTACAGCCCTGCTCAGAGCAGCAGGCTTCTGCTGGGGTCCAGTGAGTGGGGGTGAGAGGGATGAGTCCAAAAGATGAGGTGGGGGTGAAGAGGGTAATACAACAGGCAAATTTGGTCACGTATTGCAGGGCCATCCATGCTGCTGAGGTGGCCAGCTGCAGTCAGAGCCTGGTAGATACTCACCAAGTACTTTGCTGACCTTCCAGGAGAGCCCACCCCAGGAACCTTGCCTTGCACCACAGCATCGCTGAACCTCCCTTCTCTCAGATTTGTGCTCCTGGAGCTAAAAGCCTGTGTAACCTGCAGCAGAACATCAATAGTATTCAATATTATTGGCTGAATAATACGGGTGAGATCTGTAACCTTGAGATGAAAGGAAGAACGTTTGGGGGAATTTTGACCTTGCAGCCCAAAACCTGCTGTCAGAAGCTCTCTAGCTCTCTTCTTCTGTTGTCTAAAACAAGCAAAATTTGAGGAAAAAATGTTCTTCACGACTATTTTCACTATAAAGCCAGATTTCCTGAACATGTATAAAAAACCAGATGTGAGCTATAATTTCAACACTTCAGTGTTTTAGCATTGTTTTTTATGTATAGTTCTAGAGGAGATGTGAAAAAGACTCCAGATTTCAAAAACCTTCATTTGTCTTGCTACAAGAAAAAGATAATGATATATACACTTTCTGTGACTTTAGAGATCTTCAGGCTTGAGTTTAAATGTAAAGACTAGCAGTTTCAATTGCCAACAACATATCATCAAACACAGCTCTCAAGGGTTAATATTACACACTAATATAAAAGTAACGATCATCCTTTGTCTCCATGCAATTAGCTTTTTAACAACGTGCCTGTAGCTCCTACCCAGGCTAAATGCTGCTTTGAAATATTTTCTCCTCAACTCCAAATGTGTTAAGCTGACTCTGGCCAGCTTCTATAAAACCAATTAATTGTAGGGCACTGCCTTTAGTGGGGGAGCACCCAGTGCCCCACGCAGCAGTGCCATGTGCTGCTGCCCACGGTGGCTCGGTTGCAGGCTGGTCAGTGCAGCACCAGTGCAGGACCAGGCAGCATCTTGATGCAGGAGACAAGCTGGTAAATCCTATCTGGAGTCATATCCTTGCTATTCTGGAATCCAGGGCATTGCATCAGGCTTTGGTTCTCACGTGCACCCGTCAGGAGCAGATGCAGCCCTTGTTCAAGAGAGGCAGCAAGGGAATGGTGAGGATGAAATAGGCTCTTGGCAGCATGTGACAGCCTGGGTAGGGTGAACAAGGGTGAAGACCCCTTTACAGCCCTGCCTCTGCACCTGCAGACTTTATTATTTTTGTTAATTTTTTTTTTTTTTCCAAATTGAGGAGGATACTGAGGGGCAGGAAGAGTTAACTGTAAAGAGCACAATACAGTAAACATGTTTTTTATATAAAGATAATACAATTTCCCTTTATAATACACATGTGATTTGACATTGAAATAAATGCAGATGCTTCTTTGCTTGGTGTATTCCCTGTTGTGCTTTCTAAAACACCTTCACATATGGTTTGCCTCATTTCTGTGAAACTGCTTGTTGTTTATGTCATACAAACAGAACAGATTGAATTTATACCAAGGTAGGAGGGTGATGAATCCTACATTATAGGAAAATCCTTGCCTGAATGTTTTGAATTTGTTCAAAATTAGTGTTGCCTGTTAAAAATTGCCCTGGATTGTCCCTTTTGTCCCTTGAGCTTTTCTAAAGATTTCATTTAAAAAAAAATAAAATCTGTGGCTGCCTATAAATGCAACCTTTTATTCAAATATGTAACATTTACCTAAAATCAAAGGTCAGATTTTAGCAGTTCTTTATAGCTGTCCTAGTAGGATCTGTTTCATCACTATGTATAAAATACTGCCATTAAGAGTGGACATTCAACTTACTTTGAGAAATGCAGAATAACCCTTTATTGCTTGCTTTAAAAAGTGCTAATCTTTTAAAAATTTCTCAGTAACTTCTGATAGTCCACCTAAACCCTGTTTCATTATTTCTAATTCCATTTTGAAATGCAATTAAAGGCAGACTAAGCTTGAACTCTTAGGAGAAATCAGAAGTCCCACTATTTTCTTTGAATGCTTTCAAATTTTTCACACGTTATTCTTAAAAATGCTTAAGGTTTAGTTGTGTGACCACAATTCCCTGATTCTGAATTCTTTGTGGGACCTTATTTTTGCAGGCAAGTCTCAGCAGGATGCAAGTCATGTTTTTGTTTTGGTTTGGCTTTTTAACATATTCAGGTATTAGATGGTGTTTACTTTGGTGCATGTTCTCAAATCTTTAAGGACTGAATTTTTACAGCAAACCAGTTATATTTCTATAGAGTTTTTGCTTTAGTTTCAGTCTCATGGGAGTTTTTTCTGCTGCAGGAAAAGTTTGCTTTTTGGAAAATTATTCTATGGACAAATCATTAAATATGACAATGGTATCTTTCCTATGCACTCTAATTTTTCTGAGCTG